ACAAACGATTCAAATCATGAAGATGTCATATTTGAAAGGGGATTTAATGGGAACCAAGAACCTACTCCAAATTTCACATTTAAGGTCTGCAATGTTTTGCAAAATATTGAAAGCCCCATGACACATTAAAGGAAGAAAAATAGTAAAAGAGTTTTTGCAAACTTTGATAAAGAACCTTTTTTCCCTAACCCGTAAGTAACATTTTAGTGGAGGCAAACCTATTCAAAATATTGTTAGGTACTAAATATGACTACATCTCTTAGCATTACAAAAAAGCAACTTATTACTAACAAAAAATTATTCCATTACTAATTTTTAGTGAATTAACTATGCAAATTCTATCACTAAATTTAATAAATTTTTAGCGACAGAATTTTATTCTGTCACTAAATTTTTAGTGACAAAAATTTTTGGTCAGAAATATCCGGCACATATTCCGTTGCAAATTTTTGTTATAAAATTTTTTATGATGAAATTTTTTTCTCCGCTAACTTCTATTGCTAATTCTGTCACTAAATTATTTGCCATAGAATTTTTTGTTACTAATTCCATCGTTAAGTTTATTCTGTTGCTAATTTCAAACTTCATTATTTTATATTATAATCGAACATCAATTTATATAATAACATAATGAATAATATAATGATTTAAATATATTTTTAATTATAAAATAAATTGATATATTTACAGGGTTGGTATTAATAAAGATATCATCATTATTCATCTCGTCATTAGACACTTATTGAGACAGAAAGACGATTTCTTAGAAAACTTATTTTATGTTTCATATTAAGATCAATTCCTATAGTATGGATTCAAGCGTTGGTTAATTAAGTTGTGAGGGATTAACCTTTTTCATCAAATGTAACGTTCGTTAGTTAAATAACACACTTGAGATGGAAGCTCAACCAATAGATGCAAAAACAAGTGCCACAACATTTTTCATATAGGAACTCGCCTCTTCATGAGTTACTCTTTTGGTCTTATTTATAAGATAGTTTTAGCATATTTTATATAGACTAAGAAAAATCTTAAAATATGCTAACTCTTTATTAAAATATAACTAGTGTTTAACTTTACGCCTATTTAATATATACACTTATAAAAAAATATCTACACTATAGTAAATAAAAGATAAAATAGTATATTCATGCTAAAAATTTAATAAAGTAATTTATAAATAAGACTAACAAAAGCCTTCTCTTGTTACCTTATAAATAGGACCATAGAAGCATTTAAATATAAATATATTATTAAAACAACTATTCTAGAGTTATTTTAAGGGAAAATTAGCGAGAATGATCAAAAATAATATTCATTGAGAAGCATGTTAAAAATTACAATTATTTCTAAGGACCAAATACTAAAATATAGTCCAAAAATACTAAATTACCCTTAACTAAATCCTTATATTTTCTCTTGTCACACCTCCAATGAATATATTTTTTATAATCTCCTTAATTTTTACGAAACTTTTTTATAATCTTTTTCTCATCAATATTTGAAACAAAATTTATGAAACTCACATCAAAATCATTTATTATTAATCCAAAATATCTTTTATACCTAAACACCAATGAAATGAAATTATTCATCTAGATAAACCATGCTGGTACTAGTTATATTTTTCCCAATTAGTAAAAGTTAATTTTTTATCTTTGTCTTTCTTCCTGTTTCAATTGGAATTCTCTCTGCTCCCCCCCCCCAAATATCTCTTTCTTGAATTTTTGTCTTTATAAATTGTTTTAATATATGTGTGTATATATATAATAATATATCTATATTTAATTACACATTTTAATTGATTTCAATAAATACAATTAAAAAAATTTATAAATAATTTTGTCAATTTCAATTTTTTAAAATAATAAATAATTAATTAAATAACATTGCTCATATTTATTTTTATATGTAAAAATTTTTATTCTCTTAATCTAAATAAGTTTTTAAATTATTATTTACTGTAATACACAAAAAACAAGATCAAGAAAGAAAAAACAAAAATTGTTAACAAATAAGGAATAGTATTGAGAAAAGCTTAAAGCTATGAAACCAATCTGCGGGACTCATTTTCCTGCTTATTTGTTGGTTTATATGAAAGTGATAAATTTTTACTTTTAACCCAACATCATTAAAATATGAATTTTACACATTATAGTAGTTGGTCGCCAAAACATGAAACATATGTGAGAGTGAAATGTAATTAGATAAAATTTAGGAATTTAGTTAAAGGTAATTCAGTCTGTTAAAAAAAGTTAGAGGTAATTTTTAGCATCTCTAAATTTATATTTTGATATTTAGTCTTTTAAATAATTATGATTTTTAATATTCTCTTCAATAAATGTTATTTTTTAGTCCTTTTCTTTAATTTTTCCTTATTTTAGTGTCATGCTAAAACTACTTTAAAGCCTTACAGCTAACATCTAAAGCCTAATTCCTCTTGCAAACCACTATCCCTTGGATGTCTAGTTTATTTAATTTATTAGAATAGTCAATTATATGTTAAAATCAAATTCATTAAAATTCTCTAATCTTGATTTCTAATCTAAACTAGAAATTTCTCCCCCATGCAATACACAAATCATTATATTTAATTAGATTTAAAATTCTAATAAATTTCATTATCTACAGTACCTCAAGATTTGCTTCTTATAGGAGCATGATTTTTTTTTCTTTATTCAAATGGAATTTGAATTAGAGATGTAGAATTTAGAGGGAATGTATGAAAATTTGAGATTATTTATTTATTTCTTGATTTAAGCCTCCAATTGACATACTATTTAACTATGATGCTCTCCATTTAATTTAATATATCCAAATCCTAATTAAGATATTATTCAAATTCAAAATTAATTATTAATTTTTTCGTTTGAACTTCCCATCGAAATTCCATTTATTTATAATGTTTTCCATGTAATTCAATATATTCAAATCTCAATTAAGATGTTATTCAAATCTCATTAATTAAATATATTTGGATCCCATAATATTATACCCAACCTATTTTTAAACGAATCAGGTATTACAAGTTGATGATACACATACATATTAGCTGCAGCAAATCTATAAGTTTCGCGTTAAAATCAAATATTAGTTGAGTAAATAAATTGCCTTATAACAAAAAAGTTTGCTAAATCACAACATCACGTTGCAAAAGTATGTACAGAAGAAAAAGGAGAGAAGAAAGAAAGGGGGAAAGGAGATTTTAACAAAAAAGCGAAAGTGGTAAAAAGGCAATAAGGAGAGAAACGTCTGGTGCAGGTGAGAGAAGAGAGAAAGGAAATTAAAGGAAAATGAGTTAGAGTAGTTCACAACTCGGTTATTAAAAGATGTATTATATTTTGGTTTTTTGATGAAAATAAATTTGAAATGCATTTACGTTAAAGGTTATAAAAAATTAAAACCCAATCAGATGTAAATAAAATATTAATGGCTCCATATAAGCTAGTCTCCATCTTTTAAAACGTTAAAGATTTTCTATAAATTATTTTGCTATAATATTATTAAACATATATAACAACTGTTATAATGAGGTATTTTGTTTCTTACCCATTTCATTTGTTTTTCTAAACACTTCAATAACGTGTACAATTAATTTAAAAACAGTGCCGTTCCAATAAATCAACATTATATTTAGCCCTCTATAGTATTAAGTATAATTTGATATACGTAAATATTTATATTTAGGTAACTTTGAGAGAGGTGAGTTCCCCATATGAAAAATGTTACTGGACTTGGTTCCACATATAAGTTTGGGTTTCATTTCAAATGTGCTTTTCCGTCAAAGCTTGCAAATTTTGCCCCTTGAACATGCTACGGGCTTTCAAAGTCTTGCAAAATACTGCAGACTCTAAATATGGGATTTGGACTTTTAGAATGGGTTCTTAGTTCTCACTAAATGCCTTTTTAAATGTGACATCTTCATTATTTGGACCTTTTGTTTCAAAGCATCGCTGCTCAATCTATTGATGTTTGATATGTCTCTTACTTACGAGTCCTAGTTTATAGGCTGTCTCCTACTTATTTATATTTGGTTCACTTAATGTATTAAATTAAAATTAAAAAAAAAGTGCTCAGTTATTAGTGCAGGCTTCAATTTTGATACAAGTCCAAAATTGCAAAATATCTCAAGTGTTTCGTCATCGTAAAGACTCTTACGTTAGTCCGTTTAACACTTCTTCCAAAACCTAATGGTTATGAATCCAATAGCCTCGGTCAATTTACATGACAACTTTCTGACTTGGGGCAACCTCAGCCACCATTGGATTAGAGTCAAAAACGTTATATCTGAGCCTTTAGAGGAGATGCAGATGTATTCTTCCTAACCCGACCCAACTGGAGCCCAATCTTTTCAATTGTCGGTTAACCTGAGTCAAGCCCATATTATAGCCTAGGATTTGTTGCCTTAGAAGGATGACCAGGTCAAATACCTTCAATACAAGATACCTGATTACAACTCTTGAATGTATTGTGTAGTTTTGCTATTAAGAATCACTTCACTTTTGCAATTTGTAGTACATAATGCCATATTTACTTCACACCTGTATAAATGGACTTCAATTTTCACAAATAAATTGTCATATTATAAACTTTCAATGTTATAAAATAGAGCATTATAGCATGATCTGATCCGTATAGCAAAGACCCCATCTAATAGGACAAGACTTGTAAACTTTCCATGTTGAAGCAAAATTTCACATCAAAATTAGCTTTCTAACTGGGGATTGGATATACAAAGTTCTGAGAAAACAAACTCAGCTATGTATAGAGTCCTAAATAAGATAAAATGATAGCATTGCAGACATTTGGGCATCAAATCGCTCGTTAACTAAGTGGCTAAATTGAAATACCTACCCAGAACCTAAATAAAATTTTGTTTTTCCAAATACATATGAAACATGATCATTTTTGCCAGAAACAGAACTGACTAACTTGAACTTGGGGAAAGGCAAGAACCTGGCACAAACTAAAAACGCCCACTGCCAACAAACTATGGCAACAAACAGAAACAAATAGCTATTCTTGAAAAATGAATTAGAAAAACTTCACCTCATTTTAACATTTGCCAAAGTGCGGCATTATAATCATAACTATGAATGGTTGAAACTCAGAGCGAAAAGCAGTCAGTGGCAGGGCAAACTCGCCCAATAATTAGATTAGAAGAAATTACAACATAAATTTCCGCTGGGCTTGGCCAAACCAAAAAATATACATTTTTTGTGTAAAAAGAAATGAGTAAAAGATGAAGTCTCCGCTCATGAAGAGATCTCAGAATCTGAAGCCAGGGTCTACATCCATTGCCCAGGCAAATTTTGCCAGCAGAGATTTGTTGAAGATCTGAGCATTCCGGGCAACAAGTAGTACAAATCAGCAAAAATATGACGTTAAATACAAAAATACAGCCAATTAGCATGGAATGCCAAAAATAGACCGTCAGTGGCTTACAAAAAATATGACTTTTGTAAACTTTACATTAATGATTCTAGTGTTAATCATGCGTAGGCTCGAATTAACAAGTAGGCAGAGTTATACAAGCAACTTTTTGTTGACTGGAAGCAACCTTGCCTCCAGCCATCACAAAGAAGAGCACAAGAGAACTGCTACCCACTAACCACGTCAAGCTTAACTGTCATTTCAATGAGTTCTACTTAAGAAAACAAGAAAGAAAGGACCTATTTGTTAACACCCCCTCAACTTGGAAACCCAAAAATTATCTCGCTTATCTATGATACTTGAAGATCAGTATCCTTCAATCCATTTTCTTGTTTCTCACTAACAAAGAAACCACCATCAAAAATTATCTCGCGTATCTATCATTTGTTGTTTACAAATAAATGGGAGCATACCACAACTGAAAGGGAACGCTAGTTTACAATTTTCAAATTCAGAGAGGTAAATGCAAATCGCTCAAAGATGAAGGCATTTGCGTTTTTCTTCCAAGCAAATATACTGAGACTAGCAACCAAAATATATATATATATATATATATATATATATATTTGGGAAAAAGCACTAGTTTACAATTATTTCTTCAAGCCCATTAAATTCTTTAGAGCACTGGCAACACAAAAAATTATCATAAATAACTTCATCTGAACAAGTGAAGAAACCAGCACCTTTTCAATAGGAACCTCATGCCGCTTGCACCAAGCCACTGTAATCCTGGGATCTAGGTAGTTTATCTTGGATGTGCCTAATGCCACAGTTTTGAGATCTTCTTTGGTCTTCATGTCACGTTGCATCTTATCAATTTTTGCCTTGGTTTGAGTAATCTTTTTGTCTAGTCTGTAGATTGCAATAATAATAATTACATATCATAACCAAGCAAGTAAAGCCTAAGGTATGAAGAAAGCCATCTTACGCATCCGGAGTTAGGTTCCGTTTTCTCTCAGCACTCTTCAGAGGAGGTTTGCCTTTCTTTACCCTGTCCAAATCTGTTTTCAAATGCTTCAGAACACCCTACAAGTAAAGAGTAGGCCAGCTTGAGTTATAAATTTATAACAAAAAACCCTAGTTTGCCAACAAATTCACCAAAACCCAGGGATTCTCAGTACCTGGAGTTCAGCAATCTTCTCAGTTAACCTTGACATTTGTGCAGTATGAGATTTTGACACACTACGTTGGTGATTACAAATAATTGCAACCTGACATCAAGAGACAGTAGCAATGAAGCTGATGATGTCTACGAATGAATACATAGAACTAACATGAGCATGTTGCACATATATTGAGCCATTCACCTCCTTGTTTGCAGTCTGATAGACCCCAATTTTCTCTGCAACATCACCATCTTTAGTATCCTTGGTCAACTGTTATCACAGAATCCCAGAAAATTAGACATACAACTTCCTGATGACATGCCAGATACACTTGACAACAATATGCATGACACCATTTTGCTATGAAAATAGAATTAACGTATGCTTGCATGGGATATATAGCATATGTAGGAAACAAGTATTTAGTAAAGCATTCCAGAAGTGTATTACAAGTTTATAATCAAGGTAAAATTTCAACTCCAATGAAAGATGCAATGCTCTTTAGGGAGGCACTGACTCCTCACCTGTCGTAGAAAAAAAAATGTAGGGAAAAGAAATTTTTGATGTCAAAAATACAATTAGTAACAGAAGAATAATTGAAGGGTATGTAGAAGTCTAGGAGATAATGGAGGTACAGTATAGTCATTTCAAGGCACGTTAGCTTAATGATTTGCAGAATAAAACCATTATTACCATGTCATCCAATGTGATAGATGCATTGAATGTACGGAAGACTTTAGCCGTTAGGCCAGGCATCAGTTCCTTCAGGTGAGCATTTAGTTTACTTGTATCTAGCTTGTCAAAGAGATCATCACCAGGGCTTTTTTCTGAAGATCAAAATATCAAATACTTAAGGACCTCAGTTTCATAGCATAGATATATCATATGAAATATGTTTCCCACCTTCTTGGAACTTTAAAATTGCATTATAAACTTGCTGTTCAACTTCTACCGTATTTTCATACTTGATCGAATCTTTACCAAGGAAGTTAAACTGCATTAATCCAAATAAGAAAAAGTGATTACTAATAGAAGAAAGTTTTAAGAGAGATGCTATCGTTAAAAGATTAAAAGATCAAGATGACACAGAAATTTTAAATCCTTGAACCTAAGGACTTATAATCTGATCAGCCATTCCCAGCTAAAAAAGAAACAGAGAACGTGATAATTTGAAAGCCATAACACCTGCAACTTGTTGGGGGCTTCTGCTGTTACATTTTCCACTTTCAATGTGCAGCAACCAACAGTATCAGCTTCATCATCATCCTGAGGAAAGGAAACTAAAATAACTAAATGCTCAAGAATTTTTTTTCACGAGTAAAAATCAGAATAGCACACAACAAAGGTAAAGGGGAATGCCAACAAAGCTACAAGCGGAATCTGCATCAAGTCGCTTTAGCAAATCCAGCCATACAAATTTATAAATTAAAGAAAATACACCATTTATAGAATTCCAAATTATCCATTCTATCATTACTTTAATGCAAATGTTCATACATTGACTAAATATGAAAAATATTTCTTTCTATAGACAAGAACAAGGTGGGCACTTGGAAACATGATTTTTTGTGGATTTTAGAGCTTTAGGATTTCGACTGAAACCAGCAAGGACTTGAATTTCAAGTTCACTGATGAATTTGACTAGTATTCAAAATAATTCTTGCTTTTATGCCTGGGCATGAGTGTTGTACTCTTTTCATCAATCATATGTATGATCTGCAGTGAGCACAAGTGAGTGACGATTCTCCAGACAATACCTTCTCATTGCCAGCCCTCAGAGCTAACTTATCGATAAGGTAAGTAGCAACAGCTATTTGCCGCCTTGTAATATCTTTACTTGTAAAATTCTTCGTGTATGCAGCCCTGATGTTCCCTATATAATTCTGCACCGAGATAATTAATTAAACAAACTACAAGAAATCTTACCCTAAAGTATCATGAATGGAAACAGAAATGGAGTTCATAAAAAATATAAAGCACAAAGGTACCTTCAGCATCCTAGCTTTCTCATACTTTTCCTTGTCACTCTGCCCCTTCAAAGAGCTACTAGCAGCCAGGAAAACATATTTGAACAACCTTGGGTTGATTGGATCACTCCAGAATGCTAACCATGTTACTGTATTGTCATGCCTAATCTCCTTCCACCTGCCAAGGTCACAAACCCCAAGGAATAAAAAATAACGTTGACTTTCAACTTTGACCAGATTTGATATTAAATTTTTCCTGCTCTCCAGTGTAACTTACTTTTCACCAGGGATAGGGCATTCAGGAATTGGAGCATCCTTTCCGATATTAATTGTGATATCACTTGGATGAATGCGCCTTTTCAGTTTGCCCATCTAATAACAAATAGAAATAAACCATTATTAACCACAAAATCTGGTAAAATATCTCATGTGATGTCACATCGTAAGAAATCACATTTATATCTGAAAAGCTCTACTACTAGTAATTAGCTAAGACAGTAACCTTTGGATGCTCTCCACGACCTCGGAACAACCCCGGTGGTTCTACTCTAAAGTTTCCAACCTACAACGAATTGTCAATAACATTTAGTCAAAACTCTAACAAATTACCAAAGGGGAACTTGAACTCAGCAACTTGCACAGAGTAAGATGATTCAGATTTCAAAGCTTGCACTTAAATAGGAGACAAGAATAACAAGTTCAACTTCAGGAACAAATAACAATTGACACAGACAACATTGAAGTCTACACAAGCATTTAAAATAGGAAAACAAACAACCATAACTTTTATGAAAGAAATCCATTTAACAGTAAGATATACTTTAAACTAAAGATAAGATCAACAGAGAAAATAAAGGGTTTAACATGAACGCAGAAGGAAGCTACAGAACCCACTCGCGTCTGACAAAGCAATTGATATATAGGAATTAAAGTGGGGAGGCAGCAGGGTAGTTATGAGTATTCGATGCACAGGTGTTTTGTAGGCATTAGGCATATGAAATCATTGTGAATGAATTGATACGACTATTTTGCTATGTCAGGCTTTTGCCATGTATCACAAATAGTCAAAAATTCTTCAGACAACACATAAGCCAAAAAAATGGATTGCAGAAGCCACAAGAAGTTGAACTATAGATTGGGAGTCAGAAATTTTAAGAGCGTGGAGAATGTGAGAGCCCAACATTAAAGTACCTTCTCCTTAACACCGTCAACTATGGCCCACATGTATTTCTCCTCTTGTTTTGCTTTCTCCTCCTTAAGGGCCTTCTTTTCCTGCATGAATCCAAGACAAGAAAGTTAGCAGTTACCAAATAGAAAGAAATGAATTATAACGTCTTCAACTCACTTTTTTTTTTGGGCCAACTTCAACCACTTAGTCCTAATGCATCTGATCCACCCAAAATCCCAAAAAGAAAACGCATAAAGTTGAAGGCCGCGAGACAATAGACTTATCAAGAACCTAACCTAACCTAGAACTATCCAATGGCGATCCAAACTTCCTAAAAACTACCCAAATTAGTTACATGATGGTGGACCCATTATAAATTCACCATGCTTGTCAGGAAAAACACTGGAACAACATTAAGGAAAATAATAACAATTAATTTTAGGAAAATTACTTTTGACTGGCTCAGTAAGGAAATTACTTTCATGAGTATATATATAACCACGCATAAAATTCCAACATACAGAAGCCAGTGAAGGACATAATTAACTCTCAGTTTGACCGCCAACAAGTGAGAATGCTACAGAATTAACATTGGGGTGCCGACAGGCATTTGTCCCACAAAATCAGGGATCAAAGCATGCTCTGATTCCCCCCCCCCCTTTGGGTATAGTGCACAAAGAAGCATCATAGTTGTAGATAGAAGGCTCTTGGAGCCAAGTCATGCCGAGCCTTCAGCAAAAGGTATTAGCAAAGGGTCATATTCACATGGTTCAAAACATGGCTGTTAAAAATGAGTTTGTGAGATTGCATCAAACTCAACGACTCAAGCTTGTGGGCATCACACGATTTCTGCTGCAACTTAGTAACAGTTTTACTTTTAGCCCCTTTCTTTCCTTGATCAAATCCCTGAACTCAACTTAGACCAGCCCATATGACAGCAGGATGTGTTAATGGACAAAAATGATTGACATGAACGGGCTTCTCCCTTTATCTATGAATCTGTCTTTTTTTTTCATTTTTATCTGCATTTCATTTATTCATATCAATAAATCAACAACGACAGACATTCACATACTGTTCATACGTAGGCTTATGACTTGGGCAAGTGTATTTGTGAGAATTTCATTGCAGCACCAGTAAGTTGAGAATTTGGCATTTAAATATCGTTGTATAGATATCTAAATATGGTTGGCAAAAAAATATCTAAATATGATTTTTTTCACTTCATATTCTATTTTAAGCACTATTCACAAAAACAATCTATGCTCCAAGTTTTCCACAAATATTATTAATTGATGTAATGTAAACCCTTACAAGTTTACAAGAGTTTACATTATCAGTTTATCCTCACCTCACAACGGTACTATAACTTGCAAGTATGAACTTCATTTCAAAGAAATTTAAAAGACAAGTAATATATCAAACAGAGACACGCACAAGCAAACTAAGATGCTGGGGTTCTTGTATGTCATGCTTAAGAACATTCATTCAATCATAATCAACGAGTTGTTTAACTTTCATGACACCTTGGTACTTCTCAAATGAAGAAGCCTGTTCCAGCTGAATACACCAGCTTTGGTGTTTACAGTACTGTTCCACAGTTGGAATCCATTAACCAAAACCTACTTCTCACTTCTCAGCATCACCCAAATCCTTATACCCACTTCATCTTCGTATACCAAAGTCTTGCTTCTTCCACTCATTCATACTTCACTCTTAATTTCTTAAGTGCCAAGTCATTATCATTAGCATTCTAATAAAGTTGAACTGAACCAACAGAAGAAATGATGCTTTGTTACAATGCTAATCTTTGTCATAGTAAAAAAAGCTCATGCTAGATACCAACTTACTTCTGTACTCATTTGTTTCTTCTTCTCTTTTTCGACTTGATACCAGTCATATATTGGGGTAAAGTCACAACCTTCCAAGTTCTGAATTACATGGTTTTTTCCTAGCAATTTGCGCCAGTCGCTCCAGAAATTACTTTTGAATGTTTCTTTCTGCATATAATCTGTATCTCGCATTACAGCAAACATAGTTGCAACCTACAAAATATTTTTAAGGTTCATTTACAATGTCAGAATTTCTCATGGAGATTTCATAATGTGAAAAACTTTGTAACAAAGTGCTTAAAGAACATCATTTCCTCACAAACAGACCTAAAAAAAAAAAAAAAGCAAACAATCTAGCAGGATAACTTCACAGTAATAAAACAACACCTCCTCTTGCTCAGGAGTTAATGCGACTGGCTTCCCTTTGTAGAGCATCTTTATACCATGGGGCTTGTAAGGAGGTGGAAAAATAACACCATTGTGAACCAAGGTAGTCCACTTTTTCTGCCCATCTCCTTCACTAGGAAGAAGTTTTGTAGACTTAGAATATTCTGAATTACTGCCTGATTTCTTCATTTTCTTGACTTGTTTCTTAAATGATGCTGAACCAGACTTGTTAACTTTAACTGCCTTTTCAATCTTCTTCACTGATGACGACTTATTTCCTGATGGAGAAGACTTGGCTAATCTCTGTGAAATAGGAATATCATCATCATCATCTACCTTTGACTCATGCTTCACAGGTACTTGCTTAATTTTAGTTGATGAAACTGGATCTGAGAGCTTTGGCTTCTTCACAGAAGAATTCAGGGAACTAATCTTATCTAGTGGCCTCTTAACCGACCCTGTAACAAGCTTTTCCTGTTTAATACTTGTGCTGGAACCATCTTGATGACTTTTCTGAACTTTCAAAAGGGGTTTTTTCTGATCAGAGTGATCGTATCCACTTCCAGATGTTCCTGCATTCCGTGATAGCCTTGCTGACAAGGGAAGATCATCATCATCATCATCAGAGTCTTCAATAGGTTTCTTCACAATAGGAGCAGCTTTGCTATTATGATTGGAGTTCGTTTTCAGCCTAGCACTCAATGGTTTGTTATCCTCCTCATCATCAGAATCTTCATAGTTTCCTCTCGGAACATGTTTGATAGAAGGTTTTTCCTCCTTAACATCACTGAGCACTTTCGATCCTGAAAAAGGCTTTGACTTATCTCCTGACGATGATACTTTAGGATTTGCTACAGGCGACTTCACATTAGAGGAACTGACACGCGAAGTTGATGCTTTGGAGATATCTACAGAAGCCTTTGTGGGTGATGTCTTGACCGATGGAATTATCTTGCAATTCTGCAGCCCAGAATTTTGGCCATTGGATTTCCTATGTGTTTGCCCATCAAGACTAGAAGTTGACTTCTTTACTTCAGAAAGCAGTTGATTTTTCTTAGACGTTGCACTAGTCCTTTTAAAAATTACTGGCCCATCTTCATCATCAAAATCATCTGACACATTCAGTTTATCAGAAGACTCAGCAGCCATCATTCAACCCTGGAAAGTGTCCGCATATACATCACATCAATTTCTGCAGGACAAACAAGAAGTTTCCATCAAGAAAGTTCTGGATTATTTACACTGAGATTGAAAAGCAAACTTGAAATTACCATTTTTTAAAAGCAATAGCTCAGGAAATTGTGATAACATGAAGAGAGCAGACAACCTCACAACTCATGCAAACAAGTCAAGCCTATCCCATCATTGAAATAAACTTTTAAAATAGATAGAATTCCAACATGACAACCAATCCACTGAAGATAGGGCATACGCTCTAGCATTGAAGCTGAATAGAATAACAATGAATGAAAGCGCAAAAAAAAAAAAAAAAAAAATAGAACAAGTTTAAAGAATAATCCATGAGCATTACGAGATTTTAGGTAAATAAATATAAATATTTTAAACGATATCGCTTTCTAAGTAAAATAGAAAAACAAGTGAAACCGCTGGCCACAAAGGAAAATTCAAATATCACCAAACCCTAAAAGAAATATCTCGTTAGAAAAACGATGCCGAGAGGGAAACCCAATTAATAAGGAGTTTGAATACATGAAGCAAATCATAAGTTTATCTTTCTTCTCAAAAAATAAACAAAAGAACGCTCCTTTTCAACCATTCTGGAATAAGAAAATCATATTACTCTCAAAATCAATAAAAACCGCTGATAGTTAGTCTAAAGACAATGGATTTTTGGACCCAAAAAAATCCCCCAGCAGCTAAGCTGCTTTGTTATACAAAGAGATCTAATAAGGCGAGAATGAAGATGAAAAAACATGTAAAAAGGATAAAGGAAAAAGAAGAAGGAAACCGAGAGCAATCAAGGGAAAGCGCGGGAATATAAATTTGTGAAATTGGAAACCAACCCCAGAGGGACGACGGCACGTGGGGAACGGACGGCGACGCCGACAAGGACGGACGGTAAGTGGAGAACAAGTGACGACGGTGAAAAGAGCGATTAGGCGTGTTCTGTGACTGTGAGCTGAGCCCTAAAATGCAATCTGAGAAAGCAAATGGCAAAGCAGAAGACCCAGGAAATACAACTCATGGATTTAGGTGAAAATTTGCTACAAGGTTTCACCCTGCACCCTCAAAATCTGTTGAGCTCAATATTTGCCAATATTTAAAAAGGTTAAAGTACATATTAATCGTAGCAATATTATACTATCTGCTATCCTAATTATAAAAGTTAGTTGAGTAATTTAAGAAGATTAAGAAAAAGAGTTAAGTTAGTTATTTGTCATAAATAGGTTTTGTCTTTCCTAAAATATCCTTACTAATCAAGTGTATTAGTTAGAACTACTATTATTAGAAGGGCTATCTTATAAAAAATGTACAAATATTAGAGATAAAATAGATTGGGGTCTTATATTTAGAACCAAAATAAAAGTCAAACGAGGTCCTATATTAAGGACCGGAGGTAGTATATTAATATTTTAAAGTTGCCCTAAAAAATTTTAAATTTGTTTTGAAAGTTTTTATTGAAGTAAAATCCATTCTATATAACGTTTTTTTAGAGAATGTTGGAATAGAAATAAAATTATGGTTTTAAAAGTACTTTTATAATATATAAAATAAATATATAAAAAAGTTTGTCTTAATTTTCAAAAAAGTGCTTTTGGGATCACTCAAATGTCCTTATTCAAAGATACCATACAAATTCTTATTCAAATTATTTTGAATTCTCCTAACTAGTATTCGTGTTAAGTTTGACCATTAGTTGATCAAATATATTAAGTTGATAAGGTCGATGCGTCATTCACTTCATTTTTTTTTTCAAAGTGAGGATTTAGCACTAACTTTAGGAAAATCATAGCTTATATGCTTTCCAAGCTTAGAGCTATTCCCAAAATCGACCTTATTGTTTACATCTTTCTAGAATTCTCGGGAGCTTCTCCTCTATGTATATATATATTAATTATTATTACATATATTTTTTTAATTCTAATTTTGTGTTTATAAAAAGTACTAAACTAAGAGCAAGAGATGAAATCACAAATATGTGGAAAAAGTTATACATGGGAGAAATGATGTTAACGTTCTAAAACAATAGCGAAGTGGATAACTCGGAAAAAAAAAATGAAATGAACCTACCAATTTAGTATACTTAGTCAGTTAATGGCCAAGCTTAACATGGATAATAGCTAAGCCAATATTGCTACAATTTGGAAAGTTCCAGTTACCAGCGTTTTGAAATGAAAACTTTCATGATACATTTGCATTTTAGCCCAGAAAAGAAAAGGAAAATTACACACAGGTCCCAGGCAATAGAATTTATTCATCTAAAGTCCCAAGAAAAGTCAAAATTAATAGCAGGTCCCAAGAGACCTTAGAGTATTACATTATAATTATAAAATAACATCACTATTCCTACTAATCTAAGGTTCCCAATTCATAGTTTTATCTACCAATGCGATTGATAAGTTCAACGGCGAGTATTAACAACCTAATGGGAAACTATTGACAACCTAGACGGTAACAACTGAAAACTGACTTTATAGAATAACATAACCTCCATATAAGAGTAAATTATGACCAAATAGTATAATATAACAACTTTAACACTAAAATGAGAAGCTGTTGAAAGGCATGAATAACTTTAACTAAACCAAATAGGATTATAGCAGAATTTTATTATAAAGATCTATTGACAACCTTAACGACGAGTATTAACAACTTAATGGGATGTTGTTGACAACCTAGGCAATGTCCACTGACAACTGATTTTATGGGATAGCATGACCTTCACATAACATCAAATTATAACCAATATAATATAATAACTTTAATGCAAAAATGGGAAGTAGTTTCAAGACATTAACAACTTTAACTAAACCCAATAGAATTATAGTATAATTTTATTATAAAGATGTATTGACAATTTTAACGGTAAGTATTAACAACCCAAGAGGAGTTGTTGACAACCTAGACAGTGTCCATTAACAACTGACTTTATAGGATAATATAACCTCTACATAAGATCAAATTATAACTAAATAGTATAAGATGACAACTTTAATGCTGAAATCATTTGTATGAAAAATTCATAGCAATATTTTACTTATATAGTGTTTGTTGAAAGGCCACCGCATTAGGAAAAAATTATCGTTCTCTAATATGTTGGAGGTGTTATGAGAACAAAAATGATAAAAAAAGGCACAACATATGAAAAATTTAGAGTAATGATAGCATCAATGGGGGAAAAAAAGTAATGAGATAGTTATGAAATTCACGGTAACTTTGATGAATATACACTTGTAGAACTTGTAAATGATAAAGGAGTAGAACATGTAATTAACTTTAATTGAGAAAATGGTCATGTATACATAGAAAATGGAGAAGCAAATTGACAATCTACAAGGGATGGTTCAATGGAAGAACAACATGTATAAGTGGAATTTACTTATTTTGATTTTGAAGTAGTATTATATGTTATCAATTGTTCTGTTTAAGTTGTCATTGCAGTGGTTGAAGGTTGTCATTGATGACCCTATGACTTGTCTATTGTCATTTGTTCTGTTTAAGAATGATTGAATCTCAATTTCACAACAAAAAACTTTACGATTGTGGAAGATGCCATGAACCCGGCCATACTGTAAAGATTTGCAAGAACTCTAATCTAAGTTGAGCTTTGTTGGTGGCTTCTTGATGTTATTTTAGTGAATACATGTGATAGTATTGTTTTGTAAATGTCATTACACACACCTCAAGTTAAGGGGTCATTAGGTACACATGAAACTTGTATGCTTTTTTGAATGGGTTGTAAATTTGGTGTAGTTACATTGTAGGTATATATATATATGAAGTGGTAAATGACATATGGAAGTAATCTATTGTAATGTCATATTTCTATTTTGTTGTACTTATCAATAGGTTGCCATGGACTTGTTATCACACACCGTGGAGGTTATCAGTGGCTGTCTAAATTAAGTTACTAATATAAAGTGGCAATTTCATGTACTTCTAGTGTTCCATGATTTCTTCACACTTGATTTGTGTTAAAATTGTTACATGATATTACTTGATTAAAATTTGATGTTATGTGGAGGTTACATTATCCCACAGAGTCTGTTGTCACCGACGCTGCCTAGGTTGTCACCATCTTTTCCTTGGGTTGTTAACACTTGCCGTTGAGGTTGTCAATGGATCTCTGTAATAAAATTCTACTGTAATCCAATTTCATGTACTTAAAGTTATTAATGCCTTGAAACAGCTTTTCGTTTTATTCTTAAAGTTGTTATATATGATAATAACACTATTTTGTTAAAGGTTTTGTTATCCCACAAAGTCAGTTCTCACCGATACTGCCTAGGTTATCAACAGCTTTCTCTTAGGTTGTTAATACTCACCATTGAGATTGTCAATCGTATTAGCGACATATAGTTTGCAATAGGGAGCGACGCAAGATGGTGACGTATAGTTTGCCACAGGAAGAGATGCCGAGAGGCCCACTATGACAAGGAGTGGTAATAGATTGCGGACTGATTGCAAGAGGGAGAGACGACACTATAGGGGAGCGATTGTACCACAAGGAGTGACCACAAAGGGAGAAACGACACAGATGAGCAACTACAAATAGAGAGACGATGAGTATGAGAGATGCTACATGGCTTATTCCTTCACTTCAGATGCCGATGTGAGAGGTAGGGAGCAGTTCAAATGCTGAGACGAGAGGGAGAGAGGGTTTGAACTTTGAATTGGGAGCCTTAGATTAGGAGAGATAGGAATGTCACTTTACAATTGCAATATAATACTCTAAGGTTCCTTGGGACCTACTATTAATTTTGACCTTTATTGGGACCTTAGAAACAACATAGAGGAGTAACTCAAAACAAAGAGACAATGAGTACGAGAGACGCTGCATGGCTGATTCCTTCACTTCAGATGCCGATGTGAGAGCAAGGAGCAGTTTAAACACTGAGGCGAGAGGGAGAGAGTATTTGAACTTTCAATTGGGAACCTTAGATTAGGAGAGATAGGGATGTCACTTTACAATTGCAATATAATACTATAAGGTTCCTTGGGACCTATTATTAATTTTGACCTTTCTTGGAACCTTAAGTGAATAAATTCTACTCCTTGGGACCTGTGTGTAATTTTTGCAAAAGAAAATGATATGGATGACATGTGCACATGCTAAATCAGTATATTTGGTCAACTAACGGTTAAACTTAACCTAGATAAGTGCCAGGGTAATATTATTATGATTTGAAAACTTTCAAGACTACATTAAACCAAAAAAACTTTTAGATACTCAGTTCCTAAGTGAAAATTTTCAGAACAAATTTGTACTTAATCCCATTTAAAATTGCATTTTTTTTCAATTAATAAGCGCAAAATTGCTAGGAAGGATTGTAACGTCCTGAGTTTTATTGGGTTTTAATAATCTCGTTTGGTTGATTTTGAGGATAGATTAGCGATTTAATCTTGATCTTGGTGTTTGGGTTGGATTTGAGGTATGTTGGAGGAATAGGCTTCGCCGCGGCGAAACGGGAGTTCCAGGGGGGTTGTCTTTCGAGCAAGTTTGGCCGCGGCGAAGTCTTGGAGACGCTGCGGCGAAGTTGTTCAGGTGAGCAGGGTTTCCCTCTCGGGAAGGTTTCACCGCGACGAAGGTTTTTTGGGCAAGCGAGAGTTTCCTCTCGGGAAGCTTTTGCAGCGGCGAAGTCGGGTTTTCAGGCGAGTAATCCCTCTCGGGATTAGTTCGCCGGGTGAAGTTCTGGGTTCACTGCGGCGAAAGGTGTCGAATCTATATAGACACTGGAGGGGTCAGATGTGCGAAAATTAGAAAATCTGAAGGAGGAGAGAGGAGCTCTGCTAGGGTTTCGGTGTGGAGGCTTGGGAAAGACATTTCTAAGGATCCATTATCTCAAGTAAGTGATTTTAACCTCTAATCTACTTTCTTTCTTGGAATTTCTGAGGATTTGTGGTGGAACCCTAGAGTTTTCTAGGTTGTGATGGAATTGAGATTTTTGACCGATTGTTTTGAGTTTAATTGATTGTTTTGGGTTATTCTAAGTATTTAATC